TTAAAAAGTTAATTTGTAATTGTTCATGTACATTTTTTATTTAAATTTTGTTTGAAAATAGACCACGATCATACGTGTATGGAAACAGTTTTGATATTATACGCTAAGTGTAGGTAAGTGTGATAAATATTTTGTTTCTCTCATGAAAACGTTTCACATGTATTACTTATGCAAATATGAAAGGCTTATAATTAAGAAAGTTATCAGAAAAGATATACAAATTTTCATTAAAATGAAGCACAATAAAAGTTTTGCAAAAAAGTTATTTATATATCTGTGACGTCTTTTATATATTCTTCTAAGTAAAATGGCAACCAATAAAAAAATTCAAAAATTGGTCTTGCAGTAGTAGACAAACATATCTATATCTGGGGCACTTCAGTAGCTTTTTCCAAGTTTTCGTATTAATTCTGGAAAAAAAATATGTTTTATATTCAAGTAAGTTTTTATTTTTACGTGAAATTTTATTTAAGTATTATATAAAGCATACGTACGTGATATACTAAACAAAAAAAAAACTCAATTAGACCTCAAGGCGAAATGATAGATAACAAAGTAAAATAATTCCAAAAAAATTAAAATTGTATTTTAATGTAATTAGATAAATAATGATTTTTTGTCGATTATTTTTATGACTTCGCGTGTATGAAATACATCGACGGACAAAATTAAACGTATCAAAAATAAAACTGTAGGGGTTTGTAGTTACCTTGGGAACCCTAAAAGTCTGAAAAAACTTTTGAAACTTCGGTCTTCGTCTTTTGTTATAATTTTTTAAACATTTCATTACGTGATATCACGAGCATTGTTTAAGTTATAAATTCAGAAAAGAATTACAATCCCCTAAATATATGTAGGCAACTTTATATAAAAGTACAGGGCATGTACTTAGGGGACTAACGCAATGTGGGGAAAAGGACCTCTAGCTTAACTTTGCTATGTGGCACCACACTTTACGTTAGACCAGTTCTGTTAGTTGGGGAAAGAGGAGGTTAAAAATTAGGGGAAGGGTTGCGGCTCTAGCTTAATGTTGCTATCCTGTTATGTAGAGAGAGGAGACAGTCAAGGTTTACATTGTATGTAATGACTTTCGAAAAGTTCGCAAATTAAGTTAGGTCGATTCTGTTACTTGGGGGAAGAGGGGGGGGGTTAAAAATTGGGGAAAGAGAGGGTATTAGCTTAGCGTTGCTGTTCTTTTACGTGGAAGGGGAAGGAGATCAAGGTTTACTCCAAACGTAACGATTTTCTAAAAGTTTAACTGTGACATCGTACATTAAGTTAGGTCGGTTGTGTTACTTGAGGGAATAGGGGGGGAGTTAACAATTGGGGGAAGGGAGGGCTCTCTATTAGCGTTGCTATCATGTTATATAGAGGGAGGAGGAAGCCAAAGTTTACGTTAAATTTAACGATTTTCGAACGATTTAACTATAATCCGCTGTCCAGCAATTTGACACCGCACTGTTAGTTAGGCCGGTTCTGTTAATTGGATGATGAGGGGGGGGTTAAAAATTTGAGGAATTTAGTAGCAATATATCTCTGGTTACATCTTTTTTGTGTATTAAACCTTTTTTTTTTTGAATTCGTAAGCGAAAAGAGAAAGTCCTTTTGATTCTTGACAGACGTTATTTTTCCCGGCGTCCCTTTTTTAATCTGGAAACGGAGGAAAAGCGAGGACAAAGCGATGCTCTCATATAATAGTGAGAGAAACGAGTAGGCAGGCAGTCGAATCGTGTGACAAAGTGGATGAATCTAATATTCACCATACGTCACAGTCTGAACGTAAACCATTGTTTGCATTCGGCGGTTGTGAGAAACGAGTCCTGTTGTACGTGTGCTCTATTTTCGCTGACGTCTACCGGATTTCCTGAACCGCACAGTCTAAGTACCAGAAAGGTGTGTACATTGGATAAAACATTATTTACCCAAGGGACAAAGACAAGTTGACTCCTCCCCATTGGAGGCCAGCGGTTGAATACAATAGAGGGGACACGCCTCCCCTTTGCTCCCCTTTATGCCACCGACAACCCCTCCTCCCGTCATCCTGCACCCCCTGTGGAGGTGACGTTCTAGTATCTCGATGATTTAAGCTTCTTAGCCCTGTGCTGCATTTGCCTGCAGTGGATGACGCGCTGATCAATACTTTCTTGACGTATTTTACTTACCTACACAAAGTTGCTTCCAATTCCCCTTTATGGAGGTTTCTTTGTAAACTCAGCGGAACACGAAAAGACAGTGTAGGAAAAGGAGGGTGATTTCTAGATAACATTTTAAAATTCACCTCCGTGAACAGAAATTATCTAATTGGTACATAATACGTACAAGCAATGAGAAATTAATGATTTTACATGAAGAGGAAACATTTCCTGTAGCGATGTGACCTTCACTTTGACCGGCGCAAAGTAGAAAAGAACAGCACTAGGCCAGAAAAGGAAGGAGACAACTCTCGGCCAAACTCTCAACCGGTGAGGAGCGTATAATCCGTACAGTACTGCACGGAAAAATTGACTATTTTATCCACTACAATTGCATTACTCAAATGTGCTGTTATTGGTACCAATTACTACCGAAAATATCAACGAGATGTTTATTTATATTTGAAGACATATTAAAGGCGTTAACGCTTATTTTCGACACGCACTACTATTCATGATTGAAGAAAACTTTTGGCAGGTACTGTATGAAAAAGTATGTTTAATGAACAAGAGTCGAGAATACAATGAGCTTTTTTCTCCCTACCTACGATTTTCCCAGCGCGCATCCAAGACATTGGAAGGAGCACATCGCTATAGAAAGTAAATGAAGTATAATACTGGTGCAGATGCTTTTGTATGTAGAATATGCATATCTAAATTATGGACTTATCAAGTACTCGAAAAATTATTAGATTCCTTCGTTTCTGTTCCTTCCTGCATACCTACCTCAGTACTTATCGCTAGTCTAAACAATTTAGATAAGTAAATGTCTAGATTACTTTTTATATTAGATTGCTTTTAATTGGAAGCGTGTCGCCCTTTTAGTTTAATTAGATTTTTTTGTTTTCGGAGAAACGTAGACAAGGTCTTTCGAAACGTGTGCAGGTACTATTACGTACCACCTATTAAATTGTATTATCAAAACGAACGAGAGATAACTCGGATGCTAGGTTGCTATACACGAAAGTTGGTTCTATACTTATATGAAATCAGTCCGTGCAAAAATCGAGATAGAACGAATGAGCGTCTTTTGGAAAGAGTGTCAAGCTTATGAAAGGGTGTTCGGTGTGGGTGACCGAGGGTTGAAGGGCGGTGTGCGCTGCCGAGGGTTAGTTAGGGGCGAGAGGCGTGGCTTGGCGGAATCCCCACTACGAGTTTTGTTTTCGTACAACCTTGCCCGGAAATGTGGTGGCTTGAATCATCATTGTTCTTGTCAAGATAATGTTGGTATAACATTTATAGAATACAGAAGCTTTGGCGCCAGTGACCGTGTTGGGAGTGGTGATGGTGAATCGGAGACATTTTTTTACGGATTTACATGACCAGTGCTTGTGTGTAAGAAAACTAATTTAAGAAATGTCAACGTGAAAGAACAATGAGTTGCACAATAAACGCGAAACAAGGTAAAATAACAGCAGATAAAGTAAGCGCAATCCAAATAAATTAAGTAAAATCTAAGAGATAACGTTCCACCTACATCGAATCACGTAATATGCAAAATAAATAAATAAGATGATAAAGATCTGCTCTTCTTTCACAACGATTCTCGTTCGTTAGTAGAAAAATCGCAACGATATATCTATGCTAATGATGTACAATGGCAATCGCCTGTTGGCGTCTTGCACCAATAACAACAACAACATCAACAAAAACAACCACCAGCCGCTCGTAGAAGAGAAATATTCCAGCAGCGAAACGCCGCTCGATCTTCGTGGACCGACGACCACTTCAGAACTCGAAGAGCCGAAAGATTCCATCATCGGCAGCAAGTCGTCGGGAAAGAAAGCCCAAAACTTAATAAAACCACCCTACTCCTATATCGCCCTCATTACCATGGCGATCTTGCAGTCGCCCCAGAAGAAACTCACGCTTAGTGGCATTTGCGAATTCATCATGTCTCGTTTTCAATACTACAGGGAGAAGTTCCCGGCGTGGCAAAACTCCATCAGGCATAATCTTTCGTTGAACGACTGCTTCATCAAGATTCCAAGAGAGCCGGGCAATCCCGGCAAGGGAAATTACTGGACGCTAGATCCACTCGCCGAAGATATGTTCGACAACGGAAGCTTCTTGCGAAGACGGAAGCGTTACAAGAGACCCTCGCCGGCGGCTTTGATGCTCCGCGATCACCACAACAGTGCCATGGTGGCTTCATTTCTAAATCAAGAAAATTATCAGCACGGGTTGTTTCCCCATCCGGGTCTTCATGCGAGTCCCTATCCGTACATTCCTGCGATTCCCAGTGGAATGCCGCTACTGCCTCCGATGAACTTGTCGCGGTTGAACATGACCCATCTGGGTCTCCTACCTCAGCCTAATACAATTTGTAAACCTGTACCGGTAACTCCCACTAGTGTTCAGCACACCCTCAACGATACCGAAGAATATTTCGCCAGTGAAATATACAAAAAAGCGAAAAATGTCTTTTCCATAGATGCAATAATTGGTAACGAAGACGATTCGCAAAGTAAACCGTTGCCGTTGGTAAAAGGTCGCGGAGATATCGGCGTTGAGGTGACGAAGCCGAAAGTTTTACCTCCCCATAGTCAAGTGTCCGCGTTCGCTCCACTTGTCCCCCCGACGGAGGAATGGACCAGGTGAAATTGGTTTCTTTAAAACACTGTTAGTGACTTTTTGTGATTTACGAATAAAATGATGTATGTATGTATGTATATTGAAGTCTAATACAAAACAGAACGATTTATTTTTAACAAAATGAGAAAAGGTAAAGGAATCAATTAGTATGCTTGCCTTGGATTTCGTTGACATTTTAGTATGTTGAGCGGTCCGTCACTATAATCTGAACTTTATGATCCTAAACAATCAAACAAAAAAGCATCCTTTTCGATTATAGTTTTGTTTTGGTAGAAAAAGACAACACAAACGAAGTGAACCGTACAATTCTTTTGTCAAGTTATGCTGGATTAGACTTTATGATCCTAAACAATCAGATAAAAGCATCCTGTTCTTTTATAGTTTTGTTTTGATAGAAAAAGACAACACAAACGAAGTGAACCGTACAATTCTTTTGTCAAGTTATGCTGGATTAGGGTTGGTTCAACTTTCCTTATGTATTTCTTTTTGCGAAATTGGATGACGTGAGTATGTAGGTGTGCTAATCGAGAACTTTACCCAAAAAAAGAAGGCTGACATAAGTACTTACCTACTGTAATACCTAAACAGATACGATTTCGAACGATTCGCACTATTACTGCGCTTTATCATTGATTCATGCGAAGGTATTACCTACCTAATATACATAACGACATTGTATTTACTAATTAAGAATAATAATGCGTACTTTTTGAATGGTTTTAATTTATTTGTGATTTTATTTTAATATAAAACTTTATGGTATCTATATTATTATCGTACTTATAATGATAATTAGACAAATGCATAGTTTAAATAATATAGAAGAAGAAGGTACATGCCTACTTGTAACTAACTAATGAATTGTTTTATTGTTCGTCCAAAGATATTTATTTGTTCTTTTTTATTTTAATAAAACTTATTTCGAGTACCTACTTGGTGTATTGTATAATTATTATTGTTAGTAGATATATAGGGACGCTTATCTATTTAACTAATCAAACTGCTTAAAAATCAGACCGCATAAAAAATTAATTGCGCAAGCAATTTATCTACAATCTAGAATCAATTTTTTTATTACTACATTTATTTATTTAACGTTTTAAAATATATGTTACTTAACGAAATAATACGTTATTATTTCATCATC